CGCTGCTTCTGGGACTCCTGCTGCTGGTCGCCCTCCCGGAGCACTGCCAGGCCGACCCGGGTAAGCACTAGGCAGCTGCTTTGCGCCCACGGAGGTCTCGGGCGGAGCAGGGCTGCCCGTCGGGGCCACCTCCTGGCAAGGGGGCTCTGGGTGGAGAGGTCTTTGCAGCCCGAGAGCTGAGTTTCCTCCGCCCTTTGGTGCTGCCACCGCGGGCGAACCTGTCCGGCGTCTGCCTGCCAATGGCACCGGCACCTTGGGTGGGGAAGACAAGCGAGGGGCATCCGCCTCTTTCCCCTCCGGGCCGGGAGAGCCTTCCGAGTGGCACACAGGCAGGTTTCCCTTAGAGAAGGGTGGATGCGTTTAGGACGCCTTAGAAGCGATGTACATTCCAGGGTGGGCACGTCCACTCCATTGGGGTGCCCCGTTGGGTGTCCACTCTGTCTTAACTGCATGAAATGGCCAGAGAGTTTTGGCCACACCTCAAGGCAGCGTCCCAGAGAGCGCTTCCCCTGCGTGTGCATCGCGGACCCCTTTCCTGATGGAGATACCTGACAGACTTGCTTGCACCTTTCAGGGGGATCCCGATACGGATCCAAACCTTGTTTGCAGGAGGTCAGTTCAAAACAACCTTGACTGACCCGCAGGCGCCCAAGAATTCTCAGGAAATAGATTTGCACGATTACTTGGGCGATTTTCGAGAAATCTGTGGAAACTATTTTGGTGGTGGGGGGGGGGGGCTCATTCTGCTAACATGCTGCACAATTGACACTGTGCAGTGAGCAATTGCCTTTGAACTAAGAATGAATACTCCAGCGCTTGTAAAGGGCACGCTTTTTTGTTTGTGATGAAATTCCGGACTCGTGGTATATTTCATTTATCGATGAATATGGCTCTCATTCAGCCAACTCAGCCCGGCCTTTTTGAGGGTTTCCTCAAGGAGGAGTGTGGGCCACTTCTTTCCCTGGGCGCCTCTCCCCCAAATTAGATGAAAATTCCTTAATTTTGAAGGAGATCACACGACTGGAGTGAAATGAGAGGGCTTAAGTGATTCTTTTCTTCATCAGCTTAATTCCCAGCCCGTTTTCCTCTGGGCTGCTCCGCAGCATTACATGAAGTGTCTGCATGTGCAAGTTACTGTCAAGGAATTTCCTATTGTGATCATAGTAGCGACACAGTTCCGTCATGCTTGGATGGGTGCCCGAGACCTCAGATCAGCCTCCCAAGATTTGTGTCAGTCCTCGGTTTTCATGCCTCTCTTAGCCACACACAATTGACATCGTGGTTCAAACCAAAGTCCCGAATAAGACACATGTCCGGATGTTAGTGTGCATTCGCTCAGGAATGCACGTAGCGGTTTTGATTACAGTGGATCAGATCCTTGGTGGTTTCGTACACCGTTTATGAGATGCTCACATTTGGACATTGTTGCCCTGGGCGCAGGGACGGAAAACGGGTCAGCAGGATGTGAAAATTGGATTGTATATATTGTTCTTATTGAGTCTGATGGCAGATAATTCTCTTTGATGAGTTTTCCAGTTTTCATCTCCTCGTGACCATTGTACATAGAGCCCTCTGAACTCCACTCTGTGAGTTTGCCTGGCCTCCTTTCTGCACACGTGAGACCTTTACTTAGGGGACTGCTGACCTATAGCTCTGGGTTTTAGCCTTAGTGTCTTTATTACTTTAGCGTGGTCCTCAGGGATACAGAGCTTGGGAAGCTGCTTTGTTGAAAATGATGGTCCTAAATGTGGAAGTTAATTTTGATCCCCATCGTCCTATCTCTCCCCTTTTCTTGGTGGCTTCCCTTCCGCTGTCCCCTGGGCCAGTTCCCGATGGTCCAGTGTAGCCTATGGACAGTGGATAGACAGCTTGACACCTTGGTTTCCTGTGGACTTGTAGTTGATCCCGTTTCAGGACTGTGTCCCCCTCCATGGCAAGGTGAGACCACAGGCTCCCTGTCTTCCCTCCTAGCTGTTTTGACTTGTTCCCTGGTTTCCCCAGGGCAAACAAGTCCTGGGCCCAAGTGGCTTATGAGACGGACCAATGTCAGGAGCAAAGCAGGCAGGAGATTGACTGACACTTTGTGGCGACCTCTGCCGGAGAGATGGTTGTGGTTTAGGGCTGCCCCTCGCTGCAGAACGTATCCAATGTCAGGTTGCATCAGAATCCAAACCAATGAAGATCAAAATCCCACAAGAAGTGCTAGCGCGATAAAGACATGACCCTTGTACTATTGTTGCAGCTATTTGTTTTGTAAGCAAGGGTATCCTAGATGTTTGCCTTGGTTGAAAAATACATAAACATAGGTTTATTTCTAGAAAGTGCTGTAGCACTTGTTCAGAACCTTTGTGTCCTTTATAGACTACCTCCATTCGCCCCACTCCATCCTGTATTGCTCCAGTTCCTGGGGGGGAAAATCAGAGTTCCTTCACCTTGTGCTGCCGTCGTGAGTGCCCTCTCTCAGACTGCTGCTCCTAACTTATCTCCATGGCACCCTTGATCCCAGCCAGTAATTGTATTTTGGATATGGGACATGAGTCTTCGCAGCAGTGAGTTCTGACACTCTCTATTCTCATCGAGGGCTCCAGGTGAAATGGTAAAGTTCAAGTCTGACTTTCTAATTGAAGTGTAGTGAATTACTTACCAGAATATGGTTTTCCTAGTTAAGTCTTTGTAACATCCATTGAATAAGTGGATGAGATTATATAAATGAAGTGCTTGTGTCCCATGAAAGGGACTTGCTAGCTGGGTAATAAAGTAAGTAAGGTACCTTGCAGGGGTGAGCCCATCTGACTGAGGTGTTTGGAACCCTATGAGGGGACTGAAAGCCTCAGTGCCAAGAGGGGACCTTAAGATCACCAAGAAGAAGCATTGGGAGCAGAGCATGGATCCAGGGTCTCAGTGCTGGGAACCTCCTATACCCAGGAGCCAGATAGCTGTAACACTGGAGACTGTGAGAGACAGCAAGAGGAGCAGCAGAGAAATGGTGGCAGCACAACCAGGACACTGATAGGAAACCAGCAGGAGCTGGTGAGGTGGGCTTCCTGGCACTTAGGCAGAGCTAACCCTTGCTCTGGCAGGGCAGAGGCCAGGCTGAGGAGTTGTAAACTTAGGGCTGGAACAAACTGTATCCTGAGCATTCCTGAACTTGATATGTAACCTGCTAACCCACTACCATCAGACTGATTCCAACTCATAGTGATACTATATAGAGTTACTGAAATTGTAAAACTTTATGGGAGCAGCCACCCTCATCTTTCTCCTGTGAACTTGCTTAATAGTTTAAACTGTCAACCTTGTCGTTAACAGGCCAATGCCTAACCCCAATGTTACGTCCCTAAGCCCAATGTTATGTCCCTAATAAACCCTATGATGGTTAGTATGATCTGCAAGTTCTGTGTGACCATTGCAATAGTTAAGGGACCCAGCAGAAAAGTAGAGAGTGCTATGGAGGGGTGGGTGGTGTCAGAGTTGGTGAACAGTTTGAGAGAGGAGGCCATCTGACCTAAGCCTTGTAGGAATCCACCTTGGCTGCTGTTGATGCAGAGAATGATTGTCTCTGACTTCTACTGAAGTTAGAGGAGGGTAGAGACCATTTCTGACCTCTAACTTCACAAGGACACAGAAAGAATCATTATCTGTATCAACAGCCCAGGCTGATGCCTAGGAAGTAGAGTTCCAACTTACCTCAACCACAAAACTTTTTACTAATCCTGACCCCTACTCTCCCTTTGGCCCTGTCTGCTTCTTTGCTGGGGACTTTGAAAGATGATTAGGGTGTGACAAGGTTGGTATTTCAAGCAGAGGAAATGGAAGAGCTGTTTTTGGTGTGTGTGTGTGTGTGTGTGGTGAGACCACAGGGTAACTAGTACCCAGGACCTCTTGCTGCCCAGAGCTTCTCCAAGCCCTCCTCTTGGGACATTCTGCCCACTCAGCCTCTCCACTATCTCTCACCAGCTGGAAAGTTCCAGATTTGTATGGCCATATTGCCCATTACAGTGCCCTGCACAGGACATATTTTCAAGGCATCACTTGTAGATTTTTCTATAAGATTTGGGGTGGAGCATGAGACAAAGAGATGGCGCCAAGATTTCTGGCCCAAGCTACTTGGGGAGATGGCTTTCCCATTAATTGAGATGAGATGGGTTTTTGCAGAGTCAGGCTTGGGGTAGGAAATAAGGACTCAGTTTGGGATATGTGAGGTTTCAGAGGTTTATTGAATGTCCAAGAAGGGGTGTTGGGTAGCCAGTTGAAAAACTGATCATGAATTCCAGGCAGAGATTGGGACCAGAGATGTCAATTTGGGACCCGTGAGCATGGATCTGCATAAAACACCCCTGGAGAGTGAGTACAGAGAAAAGGGGGTACCTGAGCATTGAGCCCTGTGATATGACAGCATTCGGGGTTCACAGGGGGACCAGTAAAGACTGAGGTAAAGTAGCAGGCAGGTCGGAAGAGAAGAAAGTGTATATGGAGATGTGGAGGTGTTCGGTGGTCAGGAAGGTGGTAGAGACAAAAGTCTGCAGTGAATTCAAGAGACAGGAGGACATCGGAGGCAGTGAGTAAGACAACTCATCCCTGTGAAGGGAAGCAGCGTAGAAGGGAAGTGCCCGCATGGAATTGTATGATGCTGCGCTCGCCCGATTTTAAACATCCAAAAGGCTTGATTTGGCATTCCCCCACTTCTTCAGATCTCTCTTTCACTGCCGTTGTCGACTCAATTGTGATTCGTAGCAACCCCACAGGACCCAGTAGAACTGCCCTGGTGGAGTTTCTGAGACTGCACCTCTTTGTTGTCAGAGGCCATTGAGTTGGTCTGACTCATAGTGATCCTCCTCTGTGCAACGGAACAAAACACTGCCCAGTCCTGCACCAGCCTCACAGTTGTTCTTATGCCGAAGCCCTTGATGCAATCCATCTTGTCGAGGGCCTTCCTCATCATGCTCATCATTCCTTATCAAGAATGATACCCTTATCCCGGGGCTGGTCTCTCCTGATAATGTGTCCGAAGTACGAGACCAAGTCTCACTATCCGTGCCTCGAAGGAGCATTCTTATTGG